TTCGCTGCAAAGGTTGCAAGGGTCAATTAATCACAATATCACCGTCATCCGCTTCGCGCTACCCCCCCGCGGTACGTACCGGCAGCCCCGCTTCTAAACGCTCTCATTCATCACCGGCACCTGATATCGGCTATTTTCGAACACGCAAGCGAAACCCGACACATTTTCCTGCATTATTTAACTTCGATTAAGCGCGCGGGACGCCGTTTATCCGCGCACTCGATCCGCTTTTTGCTCGCGCGCGATGAAAGATGCATCCGCGATGCATCGACGGTGAGGAAGATGAATTCGCCATCTCAGACATGATCAGGGACGACGTGCAACATCTTAATCGAATAACATCGACATTTCTTGCCGCTATAAATAAGCTTGCCAAGTGAAATTTGAATATTAGACTCCTCGGGGTGTTTTACACTTGTTCCCGTCATACTTGATCGACAACGAAGACGAGATCGAAGATATGAGCGTTTCAATTTGTGGCAAATTAAGGCAAACAGCATCGGTTAAATTTAGGTATCAGAAACGTGTTCACTATCATCTAAAAGATATTATATTCAATATAATCGTGTATCTGCCCTTTTTGTATTTCGTTGAATCAGAATTTTGCCAGCGCCCACGGCGCACTTTTCGCGTTTAACCCGTAACGTCCTTCAAGTCCGATCTAGAAACATTTTATTTTGTAGCCGACAAACACTACGTTTAGAAAGTTCGTGCAAGCAGACAAATCGGACATTGTCGGCAAATCTTTTAAGCCCGTATCAGACTACCGATTGGGGTTGAGATTAGATTGAAATTTGACCAATCAAAGTAAAGTTTACCAATCCTAAGTTTAGTGACTTTTACTCTAATTGGTGAAATTTCAATCTAATTTCAATCTCAATCCGCGGTCTGATACGGGCGTTAAGCACACTGACTTGCTTTCACAAAATAGAACGTTTCTACTCGCAAAGAGTCACATGGATCAGGCTTCAAGGGGGGAAACGCTGCGAGCGGAGAACAAGCGTACAAATGACGAGCGCACGTGAGCGAGGCGCGAATTTTTCGGACGCACGAGACCGGCGTGACCGCTCGCTCGTGTCTCTGCCTCCACCAGACAACACGTCGCGACGGGAGGGCAAATGTGGGGCAGATCGAAACTGCAATTATCCGACATTGACTATCTTTTCACCAGGGGTCGGGGTATTTTTAATCCCCCGCTGGCCGGGGGGGGGGGGGAGCGACGGCGACGGCGAGCTTGACGTTAAGCGGGCTAGAGACGCGGATGATTTGCTCCGGCGGGTATAACATACGTATACTTTGTCAATAGCACGGGACGCGCCGCCGCTCAGATGATCGATCGGTCACCGCCTTCCT